CACGTGGAAAAGGTGCCCCGACCTGCGATACATCGTGTTACAGGAACGAAAATGACAACAGAAGAGAATTACAAGAGAAGTGAGAGAAGCCGGTTCGGATGAAGAAGAGAAGAGATCTGAATATGGAACGTGGAATAACCGCGGCGACACGTAGAATGAACGATTATGCTGTTTTTTTCTCTATTCTTTGTTTGTCTCTCTGTCAGGTAGTTAGTAGCAGGAACAACGTCTCGGTAGATCGCAGTGATGTTACTCGCAGACGTGAATGACGACAGGAATTTCTCAATTACCGTTCACCATCTTGAATTTCAGAACGTCGTTCTCGTAGGACATTACAGTCTCCTTCCCGTTCTCGTAAACTCTGCCACAGAAAAGCATGCCAGTCATGTTTGAGTTTATATTGAACAAATTAATAAATTAATATGGTTGATGGTAAGAAGAATTTAATGTGTAACCTTTTAGCTACTACGGAGCTGTACATGAAACTATATGGTTAGATGAAAAATTTTATCATAGAGTGCAAATTGACAATATTAATAAAATGATATCTCCATTTACGAATTTAATTTGTTCCACTTCGAAGTTTGTATCTCGAAACCCAGTATATCATTACTTAGTTTTATAAAAGCATCATATAGGATAATAAAGATTAAAAATGGAATACGAAAAAAGTTCGTATGTAGAGTTGTTCGTAAATCAAGGCACCACTGTACATTATATTTTATCGTATCAATAGTTATGTATATAATAAAAATCCACTACAGTAGCATATAGTAGCTAAAAGATTAACAATTGGAAGTACCCTATCATCAACGATATAGATATTAAAAGATCGTCGACTTACTTTTTGGTGGTGATCTTTTTGCCATTGATGAATCTAGTTGACGTACTTGTCCTCTTGATAGCGCCGCCACCACCGCCGCCGCCACCGCCACCGCCACCGCCGCCACTGCCGCTGGTTCCTCCGAAATTTGTGAACGTATTGAACGATGTAAAGTTTCTTAACGAACCTCCAAGGAGGTTATCGAAGGGGCCGAAGAAGGATGTACTTATGCTGGTACTGCTTGGACTACCCCAATGGAAGTCTCCATTGAGAATTTGGGAAAATTAATTAATTAATCACTGTTTTAATCACAACCATCTCACTACTTGAACACGTTAAGGATCACTTCATTGTTATTCAGTTAATTACAAACATACATTACATAACTATCCAGATTCTTTCATTCATTCAAGTCATTCGTTGGTTATCTGTGATTCATCAAGGTTCGCACATCAATGGAAACTATACTTTCATCAACAGTTTTGGTGTCCTTAACAGATCATTGTGTAGAGTACTTACTGTGTAAATCCCCAAAATCAGAACCGCCAAAGAATTCCCTAAATACTTCCTCAGGATCTCTGAACACGAAGGTACTAGCAAAGTATGAGTCGAAGGCATCCTTGTGTGGCCTCTTGCCAGATGGCATGTCAAGACCTTCCTTTCCATACTGATCGTAGACTCGTCTCTTCTTCTCTGGAAGATGCACAAAAAGAAGCATGGTCATTATTGATCGTTACAATGGATTGCGAATGCATTTGCTTGGTTTTATACGCTCCAAATTCCAAGAAGCAGATACTGCAAGGCTTGCCATGTTAGTAGAGTACTGGTTTGGTTGATTTCTAACATCAATCGAAGTTCACCATAAGAGTAAAACTAGAGCAGAGAGAACAACTGTGGTCCGCAGAGTAACCTGGACACTTGTATCCTTAAAGGATCAAGATTTACTCTAGCGCAAGCTACAATCAATTTCTCTACCATTCAAAAATCAGTTGATCCGTCAAGGAGACATCCATTTAAGATTACTGAGACAGGCAGAATGGATCTGTCGTTCTCTCGTTCGTTCAGTCAGTCAAGCAGTTGTTAGAAGTGCGGAAAGGTTCAGGCAATATTAATTGCAATTACGGCGCCTCATGCACCGTACAAGAGAAAAAAGTATCTTTTCCACGAGGAATGATGTGAATGACCATCGAGAAACTCTATCGAATATCTTCTTGATCCTATGCTCGAGCTGGGAAACGACACCTCATAAAAAAAAACACTCTTGAGATCAAAAGTTCTCCGGGTCAAGAAACAAACAATTGATGGTGGATGATACATTAAAAATAAAACAAAGAATTCCAAGAAAAAGAAAAACGAAGGAAAAGAAAAGAAAAAAAAAGTAGATGGAAGAAAACAACGTTTGGCCACTCTCTCTCTCAAAGCCTTTTTTCTCTTAAGTGGTACCGAAAAATCGCTGGAAAGGAGAGTCAAAGTAACTCCGGGTGAATCCACGGCCGGGCCTCGAGGACGCCTTCTGATACAATCGTTGGTCGTAGGTTCGTCTCTTCGCATCTGGACACCGAGCACACGGTCACGACAGATCATCCGGAAAAACAAAGATTTCTGATTGAGTTTTTTTCTTTCCAGGTTTTCAGGTCCCAGCTGTTCATCGACACGGCTCGACTCGTTGTCATTGCAGCGATGCTTCGGCTAGACACTGGGTGTTCCGGTTGCCTCTCCAGTTTCCTGTTTTCAACGCGTGATTCCGCTCCGCGCGAGAACGGCTACCGGTTCCAGGTACTTTTAATGGCAACTCGTCTTAGGGCGACATCGAAAACAGGAAACTCGAGAATCAGCGTACTGGAGCTGCGAGTCGTTTTACCAGGGAATTGCGTTATTGTATTATTATTCCATTCTTCATGGTAACTTAGGATTTTAGAGTACCAGCTCAAAGACGTATGGCAATAGTCGTAGGTATCAAGTATAGGGTATGTGATAAATGCCAAGAATTTATCAATTCCTGGCATTTGTACAGCTTATTAGGACAGCAGTTCCTAATGATTAGGAAAGTCACGGTTTCTCGTTAAGTAAAAACGCTTCAGTGCCATTGGGAAGTCCATCAATTTCTGACATTTACGCAACTCGAATGAACAGCAAACTCCAATGATTGGAAAATCACGGTTGCCTTTAGAATAAAAGCGATTTTACTGTTATTGGGACACAGCTCATCAAAATAGTGGTTCCCCATGACTGTAAAATCACAGTTGTTTTCCGAACGAACGTGACTGTACTATCGTTAGGAGATCTATCGGTACCAGCATTTACACAGTTCATTAGGACAGCACTCTTCAACGATCAGAAAATCACAGTTACTCGCAAAATAGAAACTACTGCGCTATCATTAGACAATCCATCAGTTCCGGCATTTATACAGCTTATTAGTGTATCAGTTTCCATTGGTCGAATGCTCGCAGCTCCTCGGACGGCCATGAAAGCGACCGCTGATAAAGACCGATCGATCCGTTCTAGATCCGTCCGCAACTGCTTGATCGAGTCACGTTTGCTGGGTCCCAGAATAAGTCGTACTACTTGGAGACCACTTGAAAGAAAAGGCTCATGCGAAATTCGGCTTTGCTGACAAGCAGGAGGCTGCTCCCCTCGGTTTCATCTCCTGTTGGCACCGCAACGCTCTGCCTGACCAGGCAGTTAATTCAAGCCGCAGAGAAGTGATTCTTGCAATACAGAGCTCGCAGAAGTGACGATCGCCGGGGCGCGTCGTCGCCGGTGGGAGGAGAGACTCGGGTCCCTTCTTACGCGGCGGGACCTCGGGTAAAAAAGCTTACCGTCAATGAGCACTTCGTACGCCTCCGATATCTCTTTGAATCTTCTGTTCGCTTCTTCCAGGTTCTCCGGGTTTTTGTCTGGGTGCCATTTTAATGCCAATTTTCTGTACCTGTAAATAGTAAAGCATGTTTAGTATCAAGACAATACTTAGTATTTTAGGATATGCTAGGGTTAACAGACTGGTCAAAATGATCCATTCTGAAAATTAGTTTTTAAAAATTATTGAAAATATATGATAGTTGCTTTTCTAAGTAATTTTTATGTCTGTCCTAAAATATAAATACCGTAACTCAGAAACGTTGTTTTATCACCTAATAATTCACTGTGCAAGGGATATTTATTGCCATTATTTTAATTATAATATATAATATTAATTTTATTTATTTTTATATTTATCTTTCTCATAAATTTCTTTTCAACATGTTTCTCTCAATTGAAATCCAAGTTGAAGTTCCACGAATAGCTAGTAACAATAAATACGACACCCTTTAAATCTCGATAAATACCGCGATGCGCTTATAACTCGTAGAAGAAAATACAAACCAGTCAATTTAACTGGTCAGCGTTTCTAGCGTTAAAAAATATCTCCGGTTCTCTTTCCAACCGTGAACCGAGAGTAGCGGAGGAGACGTTTCCTGGTCCGGTGCCAGGCTTTTCGAAGTGGGGACCGAAAAGCCATTCATTCAATCTCACTTCGACCACCGTGGCCACGGCTTGGAAAATAAATAGTCGAGACTATTTCCAGCGTCCTTGGGTCGCATTAATCGATTCCGCGGAAGAAATAAGTAATCCTTTTATCACTTTAAAATCCCCATACACGTTGGAACTTGATGCAGACGTCACGACAACTGATGGATTTCAGACTTTCAAGGTTTCACGATGCATGTTGCACTCGAACGAAAAATGAAAACGCTCAGAAGTCCCAAATAAGTTTAAACTAATGTATTATTTCCCAAAATATCCTCCTTTCATTCTATTGTGGATATAGTATAGTATAGTGTGTCAGCACTTTCTAACTTCAAAAATGTACAGCTTTACGAAAATAAACTCAATGGCAAGTTCCCGGAACTTTCGTAGAAACCTACCTAGGCAAAGTTACTTACTAAAGTTATTTACTACATGTATAAAACATACCGTTCACCATCACGATTCGTCACCTATGATGCGTAGAACCGTCGAAAGTATCTAAGCAAGTCATATCCAAGGATTTATCCTTAATGGTGAATCATTAAGAGAGATAAAAACCGTTTGGACAGGAGTCTCGGATGCTTAGTTGCAAGTCTGTCATGTGTCACGAGACTGTCGCTTGATTTGTGAAATTATCAAGCTAGTGCTAAAAAATCTTGATAATATCGAATCTAATGAAGTGAATAATGGAAAAATCGGTGGTTCAGTTTTTTCCTCCATCAATTCGCTACGTATCATGCTTCAACATGTATGGCCTTTAAGCTAACTTAGGGGATACACTTACGCTTTCTTAATGTCCCCGCTGGTGGCGGTTCGTTGCACCTCGAGTACCTTGTAATAGTCCACCATCGTTCGCTATACTCGTGCTCGGGATGTCAGGGCTTAGGCAACCACCTGTCGAACAATGCGAGAACGGTTATCGTAATTAGCAGGCCAATTGGCAAGCGGACACGCTACCGAGAGTCAATAGAACGCAGGAAAAATACGGCTATCCTATTTAACGTTCGACCGCTATGCCAGCCGAGTCTAGCTATCTATTCCACGTCCCTTATTTGATCGCTTGGGTGCTTGAATCTTTTATCGTATCCTTACGTTCGCTATCAATATTATATATGTGTGACCATAATTTTATATTTTACATTGAGCTAATGGGATTAACACGGTGACTGCTACGAGAGTTTTTGGACTTTGTATAACATTCCTTGCTTTTTCGTAGGAAAGACAAATGGTATTAGAATTAATTATAAGCAGTTTTGCAATTGATAGTTATATACGTTATTAAGTACTTTCATTCGTAATCAATTTCCTTATTGTAATCGCTTTTGAGCAATTTGGAAAGTCTTGTTTAGCAGTGACCATCGTGGCAGTCAAAGTGTTAATGCCATAAATATTGTTGTTTAATGTTATAATGATATTATAGTTAGGAACTTAGTAACCCTTTTAATTTCCATACAAAAAGCTTAATCTCTCTTTGAAATAAAATATAAAAATTGTTTCGTTATATTATTTAAGAAAACTTATTTCACGGCTGATTCCTATTACCACTGGAAAATTAACAGAAAGATTCTTAGTCCTCAAACCCTTGGTCGTTAATGGATTGCTGGCAGTAAATTAACAGCTGGGTAATTGCATCATTCATAATTAAGAAGTTCAAACAAAGAATTAAGAAATTAACCATTACGAAAGTCTCAGCTATAGTCATTAAATACCACATACGCTTTCTCAAGAAATTAAATAAACAAACTCAAATATATCTACATTAAAATACGATCCAACTGAAATCTCAAGAAACCTATTTTCACAATCTTTCCAAGAAAACACAAAATAATTTACTGTTCAGTAGTCCTAGCGTTAAATAACTGGTAATAGACAAATCGTTAAAAAAGGCTCTCACGATTTCTAAACCGTCGATCATCAACAAGATATTTGTTAATAGTTTCATTTTTCGATGCCCGTCACGGCGACGCAATTGTAATTTCTAACAAAGAGATTAGAAGCCAATAGCTACTCAGCAATTCCACTGTTAATCTTTTGCAACCGCCATGCGGGCGAATGAGTCACCGGCGTGTCTACGTCACGTGTGCTGGCTGAATGTTGTTGAACCGTGACGCAGAGGGAGATTTTGTTTTATTATTCACGGGGAACGGTGTAACGAGCGTGATTTCATCTAGCGTTTCCTAGAGGGATACCGAAGACCACTGCGTGCAAGTTACTTTCACCGAAACCGGCGTCAAAGGAGCTTCCAGCCACCTGTTGCCTGATTGGGGCCCTCAAAAGCTTTCGATCGGCGCGGCTGTTCTTTCGCGACTGGCAGACGAGGACCAAAGCGGAATGAAAGCGGAGAAAGCGAAACGGGTTCAAGGCTGATGGCAAGGGTTCAAGTGCACCGGTGAAATGCGATTAGTAGACTGCGGATATTTGTTTCACCCCTTCCCGGAGAGAATTTTTGCAATTTTTAAAACCCCTTTTCATGGAAGCTTGAATAAATTGATACTTTGAATGGTAGAAAGAAGGAAAATGAGAGTGGCTCGGGATAATTGTTTAATTTTTGCTTGTGGGTTCTTGGGAAAAAGCTTTTGTGTGTTCTTAGGTTAATTAAATGGCAGTATTGGGATAATATTAAGTGTATTAATTGGTAATGTTAGGAATAAGGTTTGCGATGGTAGATAAATAATAGAGGTTATTGATATCAGTGATTGAATATTAATATTGTAATGTTATTGATAGTATTAAGTATTATTCGTTATTAATATTAGTAATTAAATGTTTTGAAATAGCAATAAAGTATTAGTGATTGAATGTTAGTGTTATAATGGTATTGGCAGTATTAATTATTATTAATTATAATATTAGTGTTGAATTCATTCAAAAACATCCCACAAAAGTACTTTTTCCGAGAACTCGAAAACACGAGTTAAACCATTATTATTTTTAAGCATTCGTATCAATTCAGGGTTAATCCTCGTAAAAGTATTCAAAAAGAAAAGAACGCAATGGTTCAAATTTTGATAGAATTTCAGAAGCATTGAATATATTCTCCATTTACTGAGAAAGTATTAATACAGTGACCGAGCTTGTATTTCATTATACGTAAATAAGTTCGGTTGTGAATACACACAGCTGATTCTAAGAATTTAGTCGTGATTCATTGCAAATGAGTGTTTCAAAATGGAAAACTCTCATAAATAATAATGGTGATTATATAAGTGAACGTGGCTCTGTAGTTTATTGATATTAATATCAACGTAACGTAATATACATTAATTTTCTCCTCCCTGTTGTTTAAAATGCCTCGATTAATTTTCTTGAATTATAAATTTTATTTTATCGCTGTCTAATTATTCAGCTTAGGAAGCAAGAGCTCCAATTGAGAGCTCCGAAGTCCGTTATATATTTTCCATATTTTCGTGAAATCTAAGTATTATTCATTATTTTAAAGTATAACTCGTTCTTTAAGTATAGTTCTTCTAAACACTGGAGTTAATCAGTTTGGCTAATGAACAACTCGTTCAAGTTTCAAGTGCAATTTTCGTATTTGCGCAGAAAGACGCGTGTTAACCCAAGATCGCGGTTCAGCAATTAAACAGGAAGTGCATGAATATTCCGATGAGTCACCGCGGAAAATTCCGATTTCACTGAAACAACAGTCACCGGAGTCTTTCGATCCGCGTCGGAGTTGAATGAGAACGATCGGCTCGAAAGGGTCGCGGGTGCCATTGCTGAAACGCGTCGCGGTCCATTCAACCCGCGGCGAGACGCCGGGAAAAAAAGGAGTTAGGTGTCAGCTATCCGAAATAGTTTCCCGTACTATGTAGTATTCCATTCCGCGGGAATATATTCCCACCGGGTTAATTTTACGCGCTGTTTTCAAAATAGTCGCGCGCCGCCGCGTATAAATGGCTCCGGCGCGCTCGCGGAACACTCGTGAATCTTCGGGCGAATTGCGCCATATTCGAACCCGTCGGGTAGGGTAACGGCGCCTAATATGGAACACCTGATTCGAAAAGCTTGCCAAAACGAGAGACATAGATTTTTTTCAATGAAACTTGCATCGGAAGAGGAAGGAATAAATCTAAGTGTGGAATTCAGATTGAAAAATCTCTTATTGTACGCGCAATAGAATTAAATAATGAAGCGTATACTCGTCAAATGTAAGCTAAATGCACTTATAATATATTCTAACGAGAAACTAAAGCGAAACGAAGAATTACGTGTTTGTCTAAAAAAGCAAATAGTTTATCGTTGAAAACGTTGGCACCGTTTAGAGGTTTAAGGTGACGTGTATACTCGTCAGACGCAGTTAACTAGTTAATAAACATTCGTATACTGAGCTATAATGTCTTAGAACGAAAATGTCTTAGAACTATACGTAAAATGTTTAAATAAAGTCGAAAACAACGATTTGAAAAAATGGCACCTAATACGAAACATTCGATTTGAGAAGCTTGCCAAAACGAGAGATATGGATCTTTTTCAAAGAAACCTGTATGAAAACACGAAGAAATTAATAAACATTTATATACTGATTAATAATAATGCGAAAATTGAAATGCCTTCAAACCGAACTATACTACCAAACACAATAATACTTTACATTTAATGACAAATTCTTAATTGATGTCCAACTATTAATATGATTGTTTTTCATTACTAGTGAAGTGTTTCACATGGTACCTGAAACATCAAGCCATTTATTTTCCGAAATATTTTGGTGTTCCATTTTTTGTGCTTCTATGTGAGCCACTCATTGGACTTATAGCAATTGATAACAGAAATGTGATATTTAATTCAGACTTTAGAGTGTCGGGATTATTTATTTTTGTTCATTTCAATTTAAAATCTTCCTCGTGAGTATGACACGATATTATATAGCAAAGAGTTAAACGAAACTACATTCTCTTCGTGGATAGATTTGGTTTCACTGAAAATCGATAATTGGCAATTCAAATTAGAGTGAAATGCATGGAATGTTTTGATCTATGAAATTAAAAGTTCTGAAAGTTGTTAATTGATGAAATTGGGAATTTTGTTTTGTAAGTGTTTTATGTAAGCACGCGAAGACGTTGATTATAAGAATTGGAATAGAACTGAAATATGATGGAGAGGCTGTAAAAATAGACAGAAATGTTTTCAGCGTCATCTTCTCCGGATATTGATTCATCTTCAGAATAATTCGAAGGAAAATCTGCGGACCTTTATGCAAATTCTCTCTTTCACAGGTTATTTTATAAGAATCAAACTAAGAGACAAATTTATATCGACTGAGTAATGCATTAAAGTAAAAATAAAAGAGTCATCAGGGTAACTAATGTTTATTTATTGATGATGAAGTTTTATAATTGAATGATAATTTAAGTTGAAATATAGAAATATGGATAAAACCACAGTGGAGAAAAATATTATCACCATGAAGACCTAATAGATTAAAAGAACGTTTTCTTCATAATTATATAGTAGATTGTATCAATTAAAAAGAATTAATAGTACTTTTCGAACCGACTAAATTATTCCATTATGAAATAATTTATGAATTTGCATAAAGATTTCCAGTCTAATCATGAGATAAGTCAATCTCGCTTTCGTGTGATATAAACATATGTGTTTATGCTAAATATCTTATGTCACAGTTCGTATTAATGGAATAATAGGAATCTTAAATAAGATCCGTTTGAATGAGATACAGAAATAGGCACGTTGCATTAATTTTCAGCCACAGTTTCAAACTGTACGGTGGTTTCGAAATAACTTATGTCGCAATGATAGCAATATTTAATGTGTAGATCTTGACATGATCAGTCTGTGACAGATCAGGAATCTGTGAAAAGATTTATTAGCTTATGAACAGTCGAAAATCAGAGGAGTACAATTCAAAAGAGCAGAAGTTGTTTCATTGAAATTTCTTTTTAATAACGAAATTATTAAGTTATTCAATTATTTTGAAAATTTATCAACATCCAAAGAAAATGAAGTATTCTGTAATGTTTATTGCGGTATTAATTAATCAAACTTGCATCTATTGAGATTCAATTTCTTTTAGATTGTCATTGTTTAATTCCATTTGCTATTGTGTGACTCTATTATCATGAAAGACGATTTGTCCAACATGTTATCTGCCACACATATTGATTGTATACAGGTGACACAAATTGTTATCGAAAGCACATTAATTTTTGCAGTGATACACTGAGAAAACACAACTCTACCAAGACTTGTGAAACACGAGAGGATTGAAGAAGTAATTACTGTAGAAAATCTTAAGTTTTCACTGTTTGTCTCACGAAATATACACTCTGGCTTAATAATAACAGTGCAATCTCGGAGAACTTCAAAAAAGGAACAACAACATTCAATGTTAATCCTATAGAAGAACCAAGTAAGCGTTATCTATTTTTATAATAGAACCTCGATTATCCGAACCACTGTTAGATTCAATACAACACTTTCGAAAATCGACAAAAGGTTCATTCAAACGACAAAGTATCAAGCTAAAAACTAACAGAGTAACGTTGAGATGCAACAAAGATCTCTCGATTTTTTAACTTGCTGCTAAACACGTCGGTATTCTGAAAACAAGATTTACCCTAGTGTTTCGTCCTATTGATTCCGATATTCCATCAATCTTATCCATAATCTCAGTAATTTCAATCAAGAAGAGATGGACCACTTTTGAAAAGAACTATTATATCATAAATATCATCGACGCCTCACAAAAAGAACCATTTATAAAAGCACTCATTTATAATAGTTCAATTTGAAAGTTAATTAATTCCATTAACAACAACACCAGATTACATACATAAGAAGAACAGTTAATAGACAAGTCTATTAAAATCCCTTGAAAACACAGATGGTTGATAATCAACATAAATAAGATCGACCTATCCTAACCTAGTTAACAAGGACGATACCTGGATTGCTCCTCGCAGACCAATCTTACCAAAGACTAACGTCAAAGATCATCTCACCCAAATGATCCTACAACATCCTGTCCCCGACTAGTTCGGATAACCGAGATTCTACAGCGTCCGCGTGTCAGACAAGTCGAATATCGGCGAATACTTGGAAGGCAGTTGGATGTAACGCGCACCAAAACTCCACGGTACCACACCGGTCACTCGTCGCGAACACCATCCCCGTTCGCCATTACGGTTCCCGGCGTGTCAACACCTCGCGGCAGCGTGGAGACCTTTCCCGAGGCGAGCCATGACGTCGAGCAAGAGGACGAGCCAGGGAACCGATGGGACGACCGAGACGAGGTGCGCGCACACACGCGGAAAACCGGTTGCTTCCAAGAGGATCGCCGGTCCGCGAGAGCAGAGACGTTTTACGAGGACGGAGACACCGGAGAGGAGGCGCGCCAGCGACTGGCCGCTAAACCGGCGCAACGCGGCGCGGCGCGGCTCAAAGTCAAACACGACTGGACTAACGAAAACGCTAAAGTTAGCCGAGACGTGTATCGAAAATAGTCCGAAACACGGAGATGGAGGTCATTACGTTATCCCGCGTTTGGCCCCCGCGACTCACTGGTTCTCGGTGAGCCGAGGCAACACGCGTGCTGTACAGTTGGGAGATCACTTGATGGCCAGGCAGAGGAATGCGGGTCTCGTTGGTCAGCTTTCATCTTTCCTCGTCTGATTTTCGATACTAATTTGCTATTCGTAAATACGGTTAGACGTGGCCAGTCGAAACTGTCAACAAGTTCTCTAGCGGCAGACATCCCTTGCCTCTGTGCCGTCCCGATGGACATCAAGTTAGCTACCAGCTGTAGGTACCTAGGCGACGGTACGATATCTGGTAGACGGGATTTAGCTGCATTCTAGTCGTTCCATTCCAACCGGGACTATAGAGAGCACTGATTCACCTGTACCGAAACAATATCTTGAATCGTCTGCTGGTGGTGAGCTTAAAGCTTTTCTTTTTTAGGAGATCTACTGATGGGCTGGGGTGATGTTTGGGGTTGGAGGTGATGTTTGGCGTTTGACGCGTCTTGGTGATTGTAAATGAAGTTGGGATCGATGAATCATTTCGAGGTGGATGGTGTTTTGAATTGTGCTGGTAATGAGGCGAGGGGTTTAGTTATTTAAGAGAGTTGTTGTTGGAGTCTTCTAGAAACAGGTAGAGGGCTTAATGTGATTTGAAGAAGTCTAAGCAGAAATGCAAATATCATTGAATTATTTGTATTGAAACAATGTTATGAACTGTCTGGCAATGATGAGATTGAAGAAGATTTGCTTTCTTAGGAGATTTGCTAGTGAGTCAAAAAGACATCTAGAATCAGCTGGAGGATCTAACATATACTTCAGAAGCCTAAGTGAAATCATAAAGATACCTGAATCACTTGTATTGAAACAATGTTATGAGTTGTCTGACAATGAGTTTAAAGAGGGTGTCCTGCTTTGGGAGATTTTCTGGTAGGTGAAAGGGTTGTCTGGGGTCAGGTGGAGGACTTAAGGGATTCTGGGGAATTCCAACTGAAACTATGGAGACTACTGAATTAATTATATTAAAGTAATATCTTGAGCTGTTTGATAATAGATGAGCTTTAGGAAAATTTGTAAGGAGATTTGTTAGTAGATGAAAAAGTTATCTAGGATTAACTGGAGGATTTAACGTATCCCAAAGAATTTTAAGTGAGAATATAAAAAAGAAAATAATATTGTGGTTTTCTTTTTTAGGAAATCTGCTGGTAGGTCAAGACGTCATCTGGGATCTGCTAAGAAGACTTAAGTTGCTCTAGAGCATTTTAAATTATCGATCTCAGCTGACGCAGCTTGTACAAATGAGGAAGATGGTTAGGAGATTTATTATCTGAGGAGTCAGAATCTTTGTCAGATTTCGAAGAAACTGTCAGGAACAGACTCATCCTGAAGAAGAATCCATTTGTTCAAAGGTTTCCTCATTCTTTAACAACACAGAATCTACATTAGATACCGAAATAACTACCAAGAATCTTTACAAATGACATGGAATACATGTTAACTAGTATAATACAAATGAGAAAGAAGATTTCAGAGATACATTGAAGATCTGTTCTTCGAACAGCTACCTATAATCTTCGTTAAGCAATTGTCATGTAGAAACTGAAAGCACCAGACTCATCCTGAAGAAGAATCTGCTTCGACGAAAGTTTCCTCATTCCTCGAGAACATACAGATTACATTAAATTCCAGAGGATTGAGTAAGTAGTGCATACAGATGGAAAAGAGGATTTCAAAGATCATTTATTGCTCTGTACTCTTTCTCAAGTTTATGAGACTATCACTAAGTAGCAACTGGAAGGACCAAATTCTTCTTGTAGGAAAGTCTATGATAATGGTAGATAATAGAAGATCCATCGTTTTTCAGGCACAATATCTACCCTTAATTCTGCAACAATTACTGATCCTTATCAAGCATACAGAATGTACAAGTAACAAAGAGGATTTCAAAGATACTTCAAAACAACCCAACCAAGAAAGATAATCTAAGTCCTTGCATTTAAGAGGCAATTCACAGTCACCATTTGATTTCACATAGCAAAATTATAAAATTCAATATTCAATATCAAATTTGGTATAACATAATTATATATGAAATATTAAAATAAAACAGCCCCATCCCTCGATTCGTATATTATCACTGTAAAAAACGTAATCAATGTTTCACTAGGAAATTAGCAACATATCTAACGAGAAAACTTTCAAGTGCAAATGGTTAAAACAATCCAACCAGCAAAGGTACTTTAAAATAATCCAACCAATAACGATACTTTAGAACTACTAAATCAACTATCTGTCCATAATTATTCCAATTATATCTGTCCATCTACTAATCAATAGCAACTGGAAGGTATCAGTCTCATCTCAAAGACACAAATGTCCAAGCAAGCAAGCAGGTAACGCGTATAAGGTCCAAGATTCCAAAGATACCGCGACTTTCTTCTCGACCAGTTCGAAAGGCGCCCAGGCTGGACCTGTTAGAGTGTGTTACTGGGTGAACAGGGCTGTCTTGGTTCTCCAGGTGAACAAACGATCATGCCCATACGCGACGCCTAGTCTATTTAAGGTCGTTAACCGTTGTCAATCATTTGAACCATCCAATTCATTTTTGCAAAAATGGTGATCACTATGGCAATATTTTAGGGAGTACTTTAACATTAAAACTATCAAACTAATCAAAATGACCCATTCCTGATTTCCTTTTACAATTATTAAAGAGATAACGCATGTTTCTCTGAGAAATTATTAAAGAAATTAATTTAGCAATACGCAAACTGAATTGTACATCAATTAAAGTTTTAATAAAAACACTCTTGGAGTTCCTATCCTTTCAACCATCACACATCGATTTTAATAAAACTTATGTAACACGTAGTTCTCAAGAAAATATTTGACACGTATTTTTCCTTGTCGGCCTACATCCAGAAGGGGTGGAAATACCCTTTAAAGTTCAGGGTTGGAAACATATTTTTAATAATATCTCTGAAAATAGGAGTGTAGAAAAGAAATTGGCATTGTTCATTTCGAGGCGAACAAGTTAAACAAATCATTTCTACACCCCCTAGTTTCAGAGATATTACAAGAAATACATTTTCAACCCTCAAGTTTAAGGGGTGTTTGCACCTATTCAAAGTAAATATTGGCATATCGGAAAAAATACGTGTCACATATTTTCTCAACAACTATGTCTCACGTAAGTTTCATTTGTAAGCCAGAAGCGAAGTAGTCCAAAGTTCCGCCGATTTTCGGAGAGTCACGGATTAGGAAACGCAATCCGCGGCTTATAATAAATCCGCGTGAACACGCGGGAATGGCGGGAACCGTGAGTCACGCCGGTTTCGGAGGTGATTTTGGCCTGCCTACACGATCGCTGTGCTCGTCCCAGGTAGAACAGTCATCGCGACGTGGGTCGCTGTGGGCGTTTTTCCAACAGTTTCGCGCCGCCAGGACCATGTCCCTGCCGGTCCATTGTCCTTAGACCGCGAGTTTCACCGGTTCGGTGAATCGCCATGGAGAACCAGTTAACCCCTTGCTCTATGATTTCTTTCATATCTGCGCTGCTCATTAAGATAAATTTGTTCTCAGCTCTTTGCACTCCGAATTTCTTTTGCATTTTTTCCTTGATAACTCTGTATTATTACGATATTTTATTTAAAATGCATTTTGAAAAATAATTAGTTTGTAGAGAGCAGTGTGAACGATTCTTGTTACTAATAATATTGAAAGTAACATAATAATATAATCTATTTGATAAATATCTTGACAAAGAATCGCCTGTGAATAAAACTAATGTCAAGTCCCGATTGAAGCGCAAGGGGTTAATGATTTACAAAAGAACAAAGAAAGATTCTTAATTCATTTGTACCCACGTTTACTATAGGATGTAATAATTAATAATAGAAAAATAGTATTTCATTTGAAACCAAATTAATTGGGCGACGTTTCATTTTTGCTGTTTAAACAGTTTCTCACGAGTCCGGCCTTTTATTGGTTACCATATTTTATAATTATCAAGCTTTTAAATCACTAGTTATTTTTAGTAGGTAGAAGAAATATCTATTTCCAAATTTCCAACTTTCTAACTTATCAACTTTCCAAACTTTCAAATGTTTAAATTGTTAAAGTATTAAATTTTTTAATATATAAATTCTTAAATTCTTAAATTCTCAAACTTTCAAATTTCTAATTTGATAAGAATAATTACCATTAATCCCAGCGCAATCGAAACACATGGTACACTGTATCCGTTATCAACATTCAATATTCAGAGCAGACGTTGACTTGCAGTGAAAGTAGATCCCCTTTCTCTTCCAATAAATAATTAACGATAAACTAACTGTAGTAAGTGCAGTTACGAAAGAAACCGCAACGCCAAGAGTTAATTAAATTTATGAACTCGGAATATTAACCGAACGATGTTTCGACGATAACTCGCGAAGACGTAACCCAAGACGAATAAAATGAATACGACCAACGTTTTGCAATCATGAGCATCGATACAACATAGATTCTATCTACACTACACAGACAATATGGTTCAATAAAATTCAAAGATCGATGACCGGATAAATGAATTGAGCTATTTATTTCGAAAGTGAAACATTTATTTTAAGTCCATTTAATAAAGAAACTCAAGTTTATGGTTATAATAGTTACAATTCTACATTATCTCTTCATTTTTAAACAATGTCTTTAATAGACTTAAACCACTTTCGAAATAAATTTGGAATTTTGAAATTCAACAAAAATGTTCATATTTTGTGAAACCTTTTCGAATATTACTGCCAAAAGATTTGCCTGATTTTTGATATTATGTAAACAGTGTCACATATAATTTCATCGAATTGTTCTATTTATCATTTTCCAAACTATCTGAACAAGAAAAGAAAGAGTTACAGAGAGATAAAGTTGAATAACGAGTTAATTCGTAGTCCCCGGTTTGCGAGCCAACCACTGTACACGGAAACCGCAAACAAATTGCGGTGAAGCTAAAGCTCCGTCCTCACTGAAGCAAATTAAATTTAATGTGTAACTCCTTTTTGAAAGTTGCATTTAATAGAAATTCTATTACAGATCCAAATGACGTTCCTCGTGGATTGAAATGCAGCTCTCGATTAGATCGTTAGTTCATTCGTGTAATTATTAATTAGAAGTCACGGTAATTAGCTCGATTTCAATTATAGATTACTAACAATTAACCTCTTTCGGTACAATGACGAATGGGACTCGTAATGAAGATCACTGTAATAAAAGTCAATGTCATTGCAAGTAGGTCGAACTAAAAGATTATTTTGCTATTATCAACGTGTTACCTTCGATGTAAACGCGCGCTTCCAATGTACAGATTTTTTTCCCATTCTCCGTTAAAGAGTTTAAGAGGTAATCTTGTAAATTATTCAATTATTGCTTTAATTGAAATCAATCGGAACTAATTGCCATTTTTCCATTAGTGATACTGAATTTCCTTTTTCTTCTAGTAATTAACGATTTGTTTCGCAAGAAGGAATCGTGGGATTCAATCGATTTAATGTTATTAGATACACCAATGAAATCGACATCTTTTCCTTCAATTAATTACAAATCCCTTTCACATTTAAACGTATCATTTTGGGATGTTTTTATTTTAAACTGCAAATATTTTCAGATTCAAACGGTAAAAGACTTCAATTCTTCTCGAATTCTGATTTTACGAATGCTCGCGTTCGGAAAAAACACAGTTAACGCTAGATTCACAGACATTTTTTCTAACTTTGTTCTATTGTTTCTAGAAAACTACATATGAGCGATTAACTACACTTTTTGAATTCTTTCAAACTGCTTTATCGAGGTTCTTCTAATAAAAATGAGTCTAAACACGGCGGAAATCAGTTTAGTTTCATCGATTTAGTGAAAACGAACCTTTAATTCCCTTAATTACATTAAGTCGGTAAAACTAGTCCGATGCTTACCGCGTTTCGACTCATTTTAATCAAGACAATCTCAGAAATTCACTAGCACTATATTTGAGAAGCTAAGATTAAAATTACTGCAATTGAAATTTTCTTCATTGCATATTTACATTTGACGCGTGCGGGTCGCTTTGAAGTCTCGCGTCTCGACCCTCGATTTTCGGCGAAGTGTCTATCTCGCTTCCGCTCACTATATTGATTCTCTGCCTTCGCCAGACTGTGCCGAGTCAGTTCCCGGAAGCAAATAGCTTCTTCCTGTTGTCCTGCTCGGTTAAATTCCACCGCTAGGAGTCGAAATTGTGGAATTTAAGCGAGCATTACTGTATTCCGTCCATTCTAGCGAAAGGATTAATAATTGCAGAAAAAGGTCATCAAGAATGTGTCATTTTTACCAATTTGCTAATTTTAGTGTTAAATTATTCATTCGCAGCTCTCGATTTTAGATCCAACATCCTGAAATCGTCATCACATTCTCTCGCGGAAATGTGATACTCCTTAATTTTATTATACTGTTATATTACTTTTGATAGTATTAGTAAAAAGAATTGTTTACGTTGTTCGCTATTAACACGTTAAGCGCCATGTCAGTCACTGATAACTGATGCTTCTGAGATACTTGAAAACAATCGTAACATGTAAGATAACCGATGTCGAATGATGTTTAATAACATAACGGAGTTGATAATAGTGCACTGCAGAGATTGCAACGCCAAATAATTAATAATTGTCCTTGCTTTCCTTTGCTACAAAAGAATATCTCTACGAAACAGCGGCCAAGATTTTCGTGGCGCTTAACGTGTTAACACGTTGAACCACGAGAATTTCGAGCGTTTCGTTATAGTCAGATTTATTCCTTTATAATAGAGGAAAATAGTATTAGAAATAATTATTAATGTTTCGGTATCTAGCTTCTCGTGTTACTAAATATTTTCATTCAATTTTCTCATTGTAACTGTTATCAAGCAATTCGAAAGCTCCACCAGTGACCATCGTGGCAGTCAATGTGGTAACTAATAGTTTTTCGAAATACATTTCAAGTAAAGCGCTTAAAGTAATACAGAATTGTAAGAAAGTAATCGTGAAATGAACTCGGAGTGCAAAGGCTTAATCCAGTCCCTAGTCCTAGGGTATACGCTTCGTTGTTCGGTTCTGTTGCGTGTACAATGGAAAACTTTTGGAACTAAATTCCACAGTTAACAGATTAAAAGGTTAAGGGGCAAATGGCTTATCTGATGTCCAGGTGCCAGGCGTTTCGCGGGCCCAAGGAATGCCGCAAGGAAACGGGTCCCCGGTATTTAAAATTCGTCGCTGGCAAGCTTGAGGGGAACTGGATCCGAACCGTTTGCGTAACCGGCGGATTACGAATGTTTCGGATGCCTATTGTGCCCGCAAAAAGAGAACCGTGCTCGCACGCACGCGCGCACGCGTTACGATTTATTGCACGACGATGCGCAACGTGTACTGTAACTCTGCTCTTTAACCCTTTGCCCCAGCCTCATGATTTATTTAACCCTTTAAGTGCGAGGAACGCCTAAACG